GATCAGAAGGAACGATCAAGATCTTATTTGTTTTGAAGTATACAATATATATATACGATAAAATAAACTCATATATTTGGTAAGGTTTGAAATATGAACATCTAAAACATAAGTTTTCTACTAAACCCTAATTACAATTAGAACCGAACTGGATTCTGAATCCAGTTAGCCGCCAAACTTTGATCAATACTTAAGGATGATGATTTGTCCCGACCCGGTGGGGAACCCGGCTCATTCGACTTGAACGGGGACGGAGATTTCCTACTAAAATGGGTCCCGGGGATCCCCGGTAGACTCAAACCGGGTTTAGGGCCAGTGCAACGTATTGTACCCCTGACCCTCCCCGTACCCGCCTACCCGTTATACTAATATTCATTTAATAAGTATTTGGGTTTTGAAAATTCTGATAGTGGGCCTCTGTTGCTGTTGGACTTCAAATAATAAGAAATTGAAAGGAAATGGTCCAAATGGAGTCATCGATCGAGGTCAGATCTCAATATTTTTATTTCAGATAAAAAAACACGAAGAACCAAAATGATTTGATCAAACGATTGCATACGACGAGGATGTTGATTGTTGAGTGACTAGAATGTGTTGCTTGGGAAAAAAAACATGTTTTGATGTATCTTGTTAAGTTTGCATGTTTGCTTGATGTTTGGAAAAAATAACATGTTTTGATATATTGTTGTTATTTTATGTTTCTTTAAGTTTCATTCTCCAAATAAAAATGTCAAATTGGCAGAAACATGAACAACCGAATAGGGGAAAAAGCAGAAAGAGATAAAAAACCGGGTCGGGGACCGGTGCCTAGGCTGGGTGCTGTTATTAAAAACCAGGGCCGGAGCCGGGATTATAAAACCTATCCCATCCTCACCCTGTTGCCATGCCTATCCATACTGAGGCCATGCCCATCCATACTGAGGCCATGCCCATTCGTTAATTTTTGAATATTTTTCAATTCCTTTTGTTTTTTCTTCTATTATTTTAAAAAATAAAATGATCAACATATTTGATAGTTGTTTAATTGTTTTGAAATGTTAAATTGTTAGCTTGAAATTATGTAAATACTAGCCCAATCAAATAAAATAAATATACCAAATCATGATTGAACATAGAGAAAGTTTAGGTTGGGCCCAATTAGGATTTAAGCCCGTCAGATCCTACGACATCCACTTTTTGAATGTTGGCCCAATTCGGTTCCGTGTCAGGCCGGACCGATTTGGCCATCACTAGGTGTAATAGTCAAATAAATGTTCATTGGATAAACGATAATCGGTAAAAGTCATCATCCTTATGTATCTTATCGGACAGGGCCGGTCTTAAAGGGTGGGTGAGCCGGGCGATGGCCCATGATATCAAAGTTCAAGGGATATCAATTTAACCAAAATGAAGAAAATGTTTCCTAACACTTTCTCTCTCTCTTGAATACTTTTTCACATATCTTAATAAATTAATAATTTTTCAATGAATATATAATAATTAAATTAAATATTTTACTTAAT